AAGGAAGAGAAACATCAATGTGTGGTTGCCTCCCATGCCCACCCACCCCCACTGCGGACCCAGCCTGTAATCCAGGATGCACTCTAGACTGGGAATCCACCCTGCAACCCCTTGGTTCACAGTTTGGTGCTCAGTCCACTGAACCACACCAGCCAGGGATAAATGTTCTCTTTAACTCTTTCCATAAGCTGGTATTGCTCAATGTGCTTGTGGGGAAAACAATCAGGTTTTGAAGATGCTATCCTCAGGGTGACCAAGGTTCCAAAAGATTCACATGCTCAACTGGATTCTAGCTCTTCTCAGACTTCCATCACTTACCACATTTCACTGGGGTCATAAATGTTTTCACCCTTCTCTGATGTTTCCCCAGACCTTTAAAGAACTACATAAACATTATCAAAAACTTTGCACAATTTCCACTTCACAACTGTTTTTCAAAAGATAATCTGAAAAAAGTTTAAAAATAGACAATCTGAATTTGCCATGCAGTACTTTCCCTTTCAAATAGGAGAAATGCTTCCCTCCCCCCCCCAAAAAAATGACTGCAATGCTTCCTTCAGGTTACATGCATGAGAGGAATAATAAAATGATGTTTATTAGCTTCCCTCTGAGTACGAATATATTTTATGTGTGAATGACTTAACGAAGTTTTATGTCCATTTGTATCGGTAGTCTCTGGGGGCATCTAAAATATTTTTAATCCTTTGAAGTGCTGAGTTTTATGGGGTTTGAAGTAATGTTTCTAAAAACCTTATTTGATGACTTGCAGACAATACTCCCCGTAGATACGCGTGCAGCTCTTCTGAGAAGTATCGAAGCCCTCCTCCCAATCTTATCAGACCCCTCACTAGCGCCACCAGGATGGGCCCGGTGTGCGTGTGTTTGGAGGAGCTACGCAGTCGGGATTTGGGTGGAGACACACTTAGCCCAGGACTTTCGAGAGCTGAGAACTACATTTCCCAGAGAACGCCGCGCCGCGCCGAAAGGCAGTTGAGTTGAGCCAATGAAGGCCCAAGGTTAGAGCGACTCCGTGCGTGCGCTGTGCAATGGGGCGGGACTTCCGGCCTGCGCTGGCGGTCATTTTGGCCACTCCGCCGTCTGTTCTGGTTTGGATGGAGGTAACTGACAGAAAAGGTACGAGGTTTGTGGTCTCCGCCGCACAAACGCAGGTCTGAGTGTCCGCGACGCCGTCCGAGTGACCGCCTCGGGACCTTTGCAGCCGCTGCTCTCGCCCTGCCCCGCCCAGAGTCCGATGGCGGCGGCCGAGCTAGGGCGCCCGGCTGAGGTGAGTGCGCGTCCCCCGCGCCCTCCCCCCACGGAGTCCTGCTGCTGGGGTGCGGGGCTCCTGTCACGTCCTGCCACCCAGGCCCCGGCGTCCCGGACCGTGAGGGGTTCGTGGGTGACACAGGGTGTGACGGGGGTTGTAGAGGGTGACGGGCTGCGGGACCTCTGTGTAAAGACGCGCAGGGGTGGCTGTGCCGGGAGGATCCAGGAACCTGGAACCCCTCCTGTGCCCACTTGGGACAGAGTGTGAGGCCGAGTCACGCCCAGACTGTCAGGTTGGGGGGTTGTACCCCCATTCTGAGGACCCGGGGAGCCATGGATAACCAAGCAGAGAAGAGGAACACGGTTTGATTTAGGCGTTTATTTCTTTTTACAGTAAGTTCTGATTTTATTTCATTAATTTTTGATTTTTATTTCTTTAATCCTCCCCCGAGGATATATTTATTGATTTTTGAAAGAAAAGAAAGAGGAAAAAAAGAAAAAAACATCAGTGTGAGAGGATCATCGACAGTTGCCTCCTGTACAGCTAGACTAGGGATCGAACCTGCAATCTACGCATGTGCCCTGATGGGGTCGAACACGCAACCTTATGGTGCACTGGACAACGCTCCAACCCACTGAACCACGAAGCCAGGGCTGATTAAGGCTTTTAAGTTTCCCAAGAGCTGCTTAGGGGAAACGGACTGGATTGCAGGTGATGAGGACAGTGAGGCACAGAGAGATAGCAATGAGGACTGAAGCACAGAGTTTAATCATTGAGCCCAAAGTCCCTTGTCCTGTAGGGTAGGCCAGAGGTTCAGGGGAGGTTTTTGCCATTTGAAACACCAATGTCCCAGCCTCTGTGGCCTGCTTCTGCCTACAGGTCCCTGTGGCTGAAGAAGCACCTAATGAATCCTATCCAGCAAAGTACAGGGTGTCCCAGAGACCCTCACTAATTCCCACCCCACCCAACTTGACTTTTAGGATTGTGGTGTTTTAGCGCTTTCTAGCTGCCATTCTCCCAGCCCTTTTGTTTGGGGTCCTGGAAGAAATCCCCTAGACTCCTCCTGAGCCCTGGCTGAGGGTTGTATGGAGGAGTTCCCTTTTCTGGCCACCAGCAGAAAGAGGCGTAGGTTTTCCTGAGGACAGGTGAGAGTAAACATGAGACAGATGCGGAGGCATAAGACCAATTGAAATAATTTGGATCTACCAGAATTTTGTAGCGAGCTTTGGCAGGATATAGGGTGTCAGTCTTGCTGGTGGGTATAGTCATGGCAAATGTGGTCATGTGTGAAGATCATGCCTGGTGTGGGTACTAGTGTGGCAGGGATGTTAATGAGGGTTAGGTGGAAAGAGGAGAGCTGTAGCAGCTGAGGGGACAAGTACAAAGCTGAAGTGGAAGGGGGTCATGGGTATTTGAAGTTCATATATGGCGTGTATAACTAGTGTGGAAATGAAGATTAAAGACAGGCAGAGAGGCCTCCAAAGCAGCATCCACAGCTACCCTGGTGTTGGGATCCACTGGAGGTCTTGATTAGTACTGGACAGTGTTTGAATTTGCCAACTTCTCTCTGGATGCCATGTGTTAAGTAACGTGGGGGTGTTTAGAGAGTTGACCATGGTGAAGGGCAGGGAGTTGGCAGTGGCTGTGGGGATGCAACTGGGGTCTGAAGATGTGAGAGAGGTATGTGTAGAGAGAGGGAATGTGAAATAATGGCCCCTGGTACTGAAAGTTTAAAGGTAATGGGTAACCCCCCAAGGCTCCTGTGCTTTGATGCATGATATGGAGGACCCCAAGGAAATTTCCTGAGAGGAATGGATGGGGCCCTGCAATATAGTCTCTGACCTTAGCTGGTGTCTGTTTGCCTATTGACCTGTAGTTGCTGAGGGCTGGTCACATTAAGGAACCCTAAGGAGCCAGGAGCACTAGTTGTATCAGGCCTTGGTATCTGGTCTAAGGTGGGGAACTTGGGAGGAGGATGGGCATGGGCATGGGCATGGGGTAGATGGGGGTGGGTGGATTGTGGGTCCTTGGGAGAGAGGCTGTGGTTTCATCTGTCCCCGTCATGACAGGACAGTGTGACTCTGGAGGATGTGGTTGTGTACTTCTCCTGGGATGAATGGGGTCTCCTCGATGAGGCTCAGAGACGCCTGTACTATGATGTGATGCTGGAGAACTTGGCACTTATATCTTCGCTGGGTAAGACTCTTAACACCCACCCCAGTGATCTGGATTAGATTTTGCTTTTCTGCTTTTTCCTAGGGGCTGTTTTATCCTTCTTACCCCAAGACCATGGACACTACCTCTTTTTCTAGTACCCTGCATAGTGCTGTTCTTCCTTGGGTTGGGTTTTTGCACTGTCCTTTTCTCTCCCCAGCAGCCCAGTCCTGCTGCCCCAAAGCCTGGCAGGAGAGGATTCTGTAACTAGTCTTAGAATCAGCCAGGTGGATCTCACCTTGCTTGCCCTTTCCTTGTCTGGGTAGTTTTCCAGATCCATGGTACCTGTCCCAGGTTTTGCTCCCTTCTGAAAGTTTTTTATGCCTTCCTGTGTCAGGAATTGCTGCCACTGACGTCGGCACTCCTTATATGCACCATGAGCTGTTCTTGTGAGAACCTCTCACAAGGTTCTCTTTTTGTAACATTTAGTTTTCTGTGGACAGTCATGTGATTAAGTTGCTGTGGGCTGGTACTGTCCACTTAACATGTCCTGTCTCCTTGGACTTGCATTGTCCAAGTCCCATGTAGTTGGTCAACTTGGGTTGGTAGTGGGAGACAGTCCTGGGTGCTTCATAGAGTGGATATCAATCCCACCTTGGAAAGATGGGCTAAATGGGGCCCGGCCCTGCTGAGGGAAGACAGGTACCCTGGGCTGTGTTCACATCCCATCAGGAACCTATTCAAACTAATATTTTGATACATTGCTGGTGACCATTTCTTTTTTCTTCCCCATTCTTGGTCTTTGGCCAGCTTGTCATTTTTACTAATTTGTAACCCCTGCCTACTCCCAACTTTCCTGCCTCTACCTGTTACCCATTCTTCTTTACTGCTGACTCTGCAGTGTTCTCCAACCTTGGTTCACATTTATAACGGGTGGTATGCACATATCCTTAATAGTCCTGGAACACCAGTGACTCCAACTCCCTCATCCTGAAACAACCTCATGTATTCATTCTTTGGTGTGTCAGACACATATATACGTATTTGTGATGTGGCTGGCACTTGTCCCCAAAGACAACATGTACTTTACTAATATTTCTCTGTTTTCAGGTTGTTTGTGTAGCCTCGAGATCGAGAAAGCACCTTCTGGACAGATTGTTTCCTTGGAAAGATTGCCACAAGTCAGGACTCCAAAGCTAGATCTGTCAATCTATACAACTCCTGTCTCTGAGATGTGTGTTCCGGTCATGGGAGATATTTTGTCCCCAGCAGAGTATCAAGGAGCACATACTGGGCAGAAATTGAACCCATATGTGTCGTGTGGGAAACAGTTTTGTTTTAGTGCAAACCTTCACCAGCATCAGGAGCACAGTGTAATGAAACCCTACAGCAAGGACATGGACATGGCCTCTGTGAAGAGCTACAGAGGCCATTCGTCAGAGAAGAATTTCACCTTCAGGGAAATTGGAGAGGACTTCTTTACTAGTGTGGGTCTTTTCCAGCACCAGGTCATTCCCAAAGCACTACTGAGTATACATAGCAGTATTGGCTGTGGGGAGGTCTTTCACAGTGGAAAAAGTCATTATATGTGTGGTGCATGTGGGAAAACTTTCCGCCGCAAACGTACACTTGTTCAGCACCAGAGAGTCCACACTGGAGAAGGACTGTATGAATGCAGTGAGTGTGGGAAAACCTTCAGCTACAAGCACTCATTTGTTCAGCACAAGACAATCCACACTGGAGAAAAGCCTTTTGAGTGCAGTGAATGTGGGAAGGCCTTCAGATTCAAATATAAACTTGTTGAGCACCAACGTATTCACACTGGAGAAAGGCCTTATGAGTGCAGTGACTGTGGGAAGGCTTTTGGATTTAAATCCAGACTTGTTCGGCATCAGAGAATTCACACTGGGGCAAAGCCTTATTCGTGTGCTGACTGTGGGAAACTCTTTAGATACAGCTCTAGCTTAGTTCAGCACCGGAGGATTCACACTGGAGAAATGCCTTATGAGTGTAGTGAATGTCGGAAATGCTTTAGACAAAACTCCAGCCTCATTCAGCACCAGAAATTTCACACTGGAGAAAGTCCTTATGAGTGCAGTGAATGTGGGAAATCTTTTAAACACAGCTCCAGCCTCATTCTACATCGGAGAATTCACACAGGAACAAGACTGTATGAATGCAATGAATGTGGGAAATCTTTTAGCCAAAACTATAGCTTCATTCAACACCATAAACTCCATACTAGAGGAAGGATTTAAGAGTGCACCCTCCAGGAGAAAGCCTTCAGCTTACAGTCCGCTCTGACCCCGCACCAGAAACTTTACCACCCAGATACGTTTCATGAATTCAATGTGAGAATTCCACAGATGACAATGAATGGTATTAGACTTGGAGGGCCTCTGTGAGGGACCATCTTCCTTGAGTTCCAAGAATGTGAGTTTTCAGCAACTGCATTTTATATTCTGACCTGCTCAGGACCCTTGCTAGAATAATGCCAATTTCTGTGGAGAAGTCATCTCACCTCTACCTCCTGGCAGGTTCCCACAGCATGTATCGGTCACCACAACGTGGTCAGAAAAGAAGGGCACAGTCTGACAACTGATGGTGGCATTTTACCTTCTTTGTGGCATTGCTGGTCTTACGTGATATTTTTGATGGACTTTCTACCCTTCCAAGACCAGCCTGGAAACTTTCTGCCTCACATTGCCCTGGACTGTGCAATAAGAAGTCTCAATTGCTTATGTAACCTTTAACCTTAAAACTTATATTTGCTGTGTGGGGTAGGTTGAAAACAGAATTGAGCTCTGCCAATGTGAAGAGGAGGACAGCTTTCTCGAGATCTTCAGAGGGGACAGTATGATATCAGAGAGTACCTCTTAGAACAGTTTTTGCCTAATCTGTTAAGATAAGAATAAATATTTGGTGTTTGTCCCCAGTTCCTGGCACAGAGGTTCTAAAACCCTTGGAATCCCCTGAGTGAGAAGAGGTGTCAATAAAGAGCTTCAGGAATGGCTCTCGCCCCCAGATTAGAAGGTTAAAACTTTCAGCCCTACCCCTCAGTGGGGTGACACTGTGGAGGTGGAGACTGAACTTAGTCACCAGTGGCCGGTGATGTATTCAACCTTGCCTACTTAATGACACCTTGATAAAAACCTCTAAATAAGAGGTGTTGTGCCCTGGCTGGTGTGGCTTAGTGGATTGAGTGCCACCCTGCAAATTTAAGGGTTGGCAGTTCAATTCCCAGTCAGGGCACATGCCTAGGGTGTAGGCCAGGTCCCTAGTAGGGGATGTATGAGGGGCAACCACACATTGATGTTTCTCTCCCTCTCTTTCTCCTTCCTCCTCTCTTAAATAAAATTTTTAAAAAGAGTTTGAGGAGCAGCTGGGTTGGTGAACACATCCAACCAAGAGAGGGGTATACCCTGACCCCACTGGGATAGAGGCTCTTGCACTTGGGGATTTTCCAAACCTCACCCTATGTGTCTCCTTCTAGCTGTTGACTGTGTCCTTTATAAGAAACTAATCATAAGTATAGGATTTTCCTGAATTCTATAATTCTAGCACATTACTGCACTTCTGTGGCAGGGGCAGGTGGTGGCTTCTGGGAATTCCAGATTTGTATTTGGCCTGGAAGAAGTGCAGGTCACCGAGGGACCCCATTTATACCTGGCACCTGACGTGGAAGTAATCTTGCGGAACTGAGACCTTTATGTGTGGGATCTGTGCTAACTCCACAATAGTGTCAGAATTGAATTGAATTAAACGGACTTGTAGGAAAATTGTGAATTGTGGGAATGACATATTTGGTGTCATGAAAAGCCACACACTACTTGGGGTGGTGAACACAATACAATATAAAGATGATGTATTACAGAATTGTATGCCTGAAACCTGTGTAATTTTATTAACCAATGTCACCCCAATAGATTGAATAAAGGAAAAAGCAAGAAAGAAAAGCCATGTACTGCACCAGGCCTTCTGGAAAAGACTGCAGGCATTTGTGATTTGCCAGGACTTTTTGTAGGCCCAAGGATCTGAGGAGGGTGCAGTTGTGACAACCTACAGTAATTTCTGTCAGTTACAGTGAGAGAAATCAATAGCGCTTGAATTGTCCAGCATGAAATTATTAAAGCCTGATTATCTAAAATGAATCAGTAATATAAAAAGTGCTTAAATCTTTGGCTCTGAAATTATTGTGAAATACCTGAATGTTAAAGCCAGTTTTTAAAAAAAATTTTGTATCAGTAATTACCATTAAACATGGGTTTAATCCCTGACTTACTGATAATGGCTCAGTGGGTTGAGCAACGTTCTGTGAACTGAAAGTTTGCAGGTTTGATTCCTGATCAGAGCACATGCCTCGGTCATAGGCCAGGACCCCCGATTAGCATGTGAAAGACAACCAATTGATGTTTCTCCCTCTCTCTAAAAATAATTTTTTTTTAAAGAAAAAACTGGGAGCCCTGGCTGGTGTGACTCAGTGGATTGATCATGGAGCTGCAAACTGAAGGGTCACCAGTTCAACATTCAGTTGGGGGGCATGCCTGGGTTTCAGGCCAGGTCCCCTGATGGGGACATGTGGGAGGCAACTGATACATGTTTCTTTCAACACATTGATGTTTCTCTCCTCTCTCCCTTCCCTCCTAACAAATAAAGAACATTTGTAAAAAACATTTATCTTTGTTCATGTTTATTTTTAACAATTTTATAATTTTTACTGAATGATTCCTGCTTTCCTCTGCCTTCCAGGCTACAATTTGGCAGGGTCTCAGGGGGAAAAAAACATATTTGGGAGGCAAAAATCTTCAGGTTACCCAGAAACAGCCCAGCCCCAAGCCAAGCATCCTTCTTCCATGCCATGCATCATAGTGTATTTGTCTCATCTTTCATCTCCACCTGATACTTTTCAGACAGCTTCACTGTGTTTGCCCCTGGCTGTTCCTACTCTTCCTGAATGAATTAAACACTAGTAATAGCTTCATTTTACAGTTTTTGTTTTTTCAGAAAGAATCTCGACTTCCTGTGCAGACATTGACAGGGACAATGACCCTGCCATTACAGGTGATATGGTAATTATTTCTCAGCAAGGAGATGAGCTCGTGGTGTCTCAAACTTTCATCTCAAGGATAAGATGCTCCCTTTGCACACATGCTCCAGGTGCGACCAGGATACCTGCTATTCCAGCAGGCAATGACATTTGGTAAGTGGAGCTTCCTTTTAAAAAGGATTTTATAGAAATGATGTTGCTTAGAAAACATCTTAAATATGTGAAAATATAATCCATTTTCTTAAGTGAGAACATGGACGTAGGCATGTACAGAAAGGATGTTTTCTGAGGGATCCTAAGAATAGAGACCTAATGTTCCTGTCCCTGGGCTGTCTGGCTTCTGTCCTCTGCCTTTTCTGTCATAGTCTACTGAATTTCCAGGGTTAGGGAGCAGGAATCACCAGGTAATATTACTGCATTAAAACCCTGTTGTTTAACTAGATGTGAAGGTCCTTTGGTATTCCCTGAACTTTAGCAGCTGCTTTGAATCTCTAGTTTCCAAAGCCATCGCCCCAAACTAACCTCTAGGTCTGTTCTAACCACCAAGCTCCCAGAAAGAGGAGCTATTAAAAGGGATTGTCCTGCCATTTTCCCAGGAAGTAAGATGAGCCCAACGTAGCTCATAATTGTGCCTCCATAGAAAGCAATTTGACTGAAGAAATGAGGGGCTTTATTTGTATATGAGCATCCGTATTTCTTAAAAGACATGTGGGGCCAGAATTCACAGAACATTCATGTCTACATTTAAAAAAAAATTATTCTCAGAGAGAGTGGAAAGGAGGGAGAAAGAGAGAGAAACATCAGTGTGTGGTTGCCTCTCGCATGGCCCCTACTGGGGACCTGCCCACAACCCAGGCATGCGCCATGACAGAATTGAACTGGCAGCTTGTCCCAGCCCACACGAGATACACTGAGATACACCAGCCATGCAAAATTCATTTAAAAAAATATTTTATTTTTACTTACTTTGCAGAGAGGGGAAGGGAGGAGATAAATATCAATGTATGAAAGATACATCAATCATTTGCCTCTCTCACTTCAACTGGGGACCTGGCCCACAATGCAGACTGTGCCCTTGTTGTGATTTTAACTGTTCATATTTTTTATCTTTTTCTTAGATAAGTCCCTTTAACATTTTATATAATAATGGCTTGGAGATAATGAACTCCTTTAACTTGACCTTATCTGAGAAGCACTTTATCTGCCCCTCCATTCTAAATGAAAGCTTTGCCGGATAGATTAATCTTGGATGCACGACCTAGCCTTTCATGACTTCAAATACTTCTTTCCAGTCCCTTCTTGCCCGTAAGGTTTCTTTTGAGAAATCAGCTGATAGCCTTATGGGAACTCCTTTGTAGGTAACTCTCCTTTCCTCTTGCTGCTTTTAGGATTTTCTCTTTATCTTTAATTTTGGGTAACTTAATGATGATGTGCCTTGGTGTGTTCCTCTTTGGGTCCAACTTCTTTGGGAGTCTCTGGGCTTCCTGGACTTTCTGGAAGTCTTTGTGCTTTGCCAGATTGGGGAACTTTTCCTTCATCATTTGTTCAAATAAGTTTTCAACCTCTTGCTGTTCTTCTCCCTCTGACACCCCTATACTTCAGGTATTGGAATGTTTCTGGTTGTCCCAGAGTTTTGTAAGAGTCTCTTCACTTTTTTGAATTCTTTCTTCATTCTGTTCCAGTTGGATGTTTATTTTTTCTTTTTGTTCCAGATCATTGCTTTGAGTCCTGGTTTCCTTCTCGTCACTGTTGGTTCCCTATTTGCTTTATTTCCTTTTGGGTATATTTCATTTGTTTTTCATTTTTCAAGCAACCTCAATCAGATCTGTGGGCGTTTTGATTACCAGGGCCTTAAATTCTCCATTAGATAGGTTGGCTATGTCCTCATTGTTCAGTTCTCTTTCTGAAGTTACTCTCTGTTCTTTCATTTGAGCCATATTTCTTTGTCTTGGCACACCTGATAAGTTGTAAGGGTGTGGGGCCTTTGGAATTTCTGGGGCAGGGCAATGCTCTTTGCTGCCTTGTGGTGCTGCCTGTGGGGGAGGGGCCAGAGGGAACAATGCAGCTGGCCTGCTCTTCTCTAGTGCACTTTTCAGTGTAATCTCCTGTGAGACTGGCAACTGCTGTATCAGCTCTGAGTCTCAGTTTCCCCTTAAGTCAGCGCCACCCCGGCAGCCTGCTGCCTCGCCAAGGTTTTTCTACGCAGGCCAGCTCCCGTGACCTGCCACCTTACTGGTCTGGTTGTTCTGATTGATTTTTTCTTTAATTCCTTGACTGTCAGAGTTCCATGCATTTTCATTTTCTGGCACTTCTGGTTGTTGATTGATTTTTAGATTGGTTATTATCCTCCTTTTGGTTGTGGAAGGAAGCGAAGGGTTTCTGCCTACACCTCCTTCTTGGCTGGAACTCCTAGATCTTTTTTTTAAAGTTGTGCAGTTTCAGTGTTTCTTCCACATTTCTGTAATTTTATGGTTCAGTTGCATAATTAAGCGTATCATTCATAGTCTTTTTTGCTCATATTTTTAAGTATAATGTTCCTATAGAAAAATTGTAAATTAGTACTTTTCCAACATAGCATTTGTGTATGTTGTAAATATTTATTTTTTTTTAATTTTTTTTAAAAATATTTTATTTATTTATTTTCAGAGAGAGGGGAAGGAAAGGAGAAAGAGAGAGAGAGAAACATCAGTGTGTGGTTGCCTCTTATGTGTCCCCCACTGGGAACTGGCCTGCAACCCAGGCATGTGCTCTGACTGGGAATCGAACCGCGATTGCATGGTTCGCAGGCCTGCGCTCAATCCTCTGAGCCACACCAGCCAGGGCATAAATATTTATTAATATTGATAAGAATTCACTTTATTCATGCTATTTAGCAGTTATATACTTGCATCCTCTCTGAATGTTAAACATGTGATTTCCATAATACATCCAGAGTTATATTTCATCTTATTGATGGGTTGTACCTAAACTATATTGAACAAAGAATGGGGGCGTACAGTATTGTGATCTTATTTCTGGACAGTTTTTAAGTGATACTAATATTTAACCACTGTGATACAAAAACAAAATAGAAAAGAAAGGCAAAACAACCAATACCCAGTAATTTTGGATTCGTGAGGTAGGGTCACCTTAACATATTGCAATTTATGTATTTTTGAGACCTGTGATCAGGAGCCCAGATACTACTGCCCATATAGTGTTTTAATTGAAACAGTGGTTTTATAAAAATCAAGAAATTGCAGAAACCAACCTGACTTTGCTGATATGGTAATACAAGTAAAAAATAGGTGGAGCTGGAAAAATACCACCCGCTTGGTTGGGTCTTGTATTCTCCACTTTGTACCTCTACCTACAGGGCTGGCTTTGCCTTTTCTACTTCAGTCTCCTGATAACGAAGGTATTAAAGTTGTTGTCACTGGCTCAGGAAAATCTTGAGAAAAAGAGTAACATTAAGACATCTCAATGGACTCCTATTTGAAAATGACAGGGTAAGTAATGCAAAATAAGAAGGTATGGTGCTATAGAGAATAAAAGAACAAAGTTGTAGCAGAGAACAAACTCCGTATTTGTCAATTATTGGAGTAAATACTTTCCAACTTTAATATGGACCTTTAAAAAAATACCTACAAAAAGCTCTGATGGGAGTAGCTCAGTGTATTGAGCACTGCTGTGTGAACCAAAAGATCACTGGTCTGATTCCCAGTCAGGGCACATGCCTGTATAGTGTTCCTGGTCCCCATTTAGGGGGCTGTGAGAGGCAACTGATCAGTGTTACTCTTCCTCCCTTCTCCTCTTTCTAAAAGTAAATAAATAAAATCTTTAAAAAAGTTAAAATACCTACAAAAGAGAAGAGGAGGATAACACAAACCAAAAGAACCCAGCACACAGCTATAACACATGTCAAACTCATTTCATCCTTGAACTTCTCCATCTTCCTTGTCGCAAACATTCACGTATTCTTGGCTTGCCCTCTGGACCCGTTCGTTAAGGTAGGCATTAGGAACATGTTCCCTGTTGGGGTCTTACAGTCATTAAGGATTATTGCCTCACTTTATGTGATATTCCACTTCTCTTCCCCTTTTCCTTTATTAGGTAGAAACTTCTACAAAAAAAAAGTTTCCTGAGGAAAAGTTTAGATAGAAAAACCACCTAATTCTACGCCTTTATTTTTCCTTTTTCAGCGTGTTGGTCTTCTGTCATCTACTAAAGGTAAGGTTATTTTTTAAAAGTATGGTTAATTAAAAAATAAATAAAAGTATATTTAGAAAACGTACTTGTTTTAATTCCTTAAAGTTACTATTTGAGTCCTGACTGGTGTGGCTCAGTTGGTAGGGAATCAGCTGCCAAAACAAAGTAGTCAGTTTGATTCCTCCTGGTCAGGGCACATGCCTGGATTGCAGATTCCGTCGCTGGCTGGGGCACATTTGAGAAACAACGGATCAGTGTTTCTCTCTTACATCAATGTTTCTTTCCCTCTCTTTCACTCTTCCTCCCCCATCCCCCCAAAATAAATAACTATTTGATACTGAAAATGTCCAACACTTAGCCAATGGGAATCCTTCATGTTAACTGTTGGGTCCCATTGACATAACCCCAATGATTTGGGGTGCTTCTTTTTTAAAAAAT